TGCTGCAGAGGCTCTGTTACCGGAACCGAACAATGTACAGGACTCCCTGAGCTAGTCACATCCAAAGCCGTATCTAGAGCCCTCACATTCTTACTGTCCTCAATTAAAGTTTGGATGCGTGTCTCTAGTTCTGAAATCTTCTCTGTCAGCCTAACTATTTCCCTGCATTTATCACATGTGAATCCCTCGCTGCTGACAGAGAGAGCTAAACTATACATGTGGCAAGCGGTGCAAGTGACAATAGCAGGAGAAGAAGCCATTACTCACTGTGATTGCTGAATGATTCCGACTTACCACTGTTGTTTGATGAACGCGTGAAACACAGAGCGAGAGAGAAAAGAAACTAAGCGAGAGAGATAAAAAGAAACGGTAGGAAACGATAAACACGAATGGAAACAAGAATGACAAGCTAACAGGCTAACGTGCCGTGATAGCGGTTTAGATTAAAAGTGAACAATGTCAAATTAGTTTTATATATAATATCAGAAACATGGTGAGAATTAAGTTATATTTTAGCAGTTTAAACAACAGAGAGTGATAGTAAGATAAAGATTCCAACAGAAAAACAGAAAAATATAAGTCTTGTATAACATTCAATGACAAAGATATTGAAGATGATCATTCAAAAGTTTGGAGAAAAATGTATATGTTTATTCATTAATGGCGCATTAAATTGATCAAAAGTGACAGTATTTCTAAAGTTGCAAAAGATTTCTATTTCAAATAAATTCTATTCTTTTGAACTTTCTATTAATTGAAGAATCCTAAAAAAAAAAGTACTGCACGCAACCTTGAAAAAATATAGTGTCAAATATCAGTTATTTAAAATTTTAATAATATGTCATAATATTAGTGTTTTTAACTGCACTTTGACCAAAAAAATCTGAATAATTACACATTTTTGGCTGTTAGTGCATACTAACACCGACCCTGTCATTTATTCATCAACTTTTATTTTTTACCACTTTTATTTTCTTTTTTTTATTTAGTTAAATTACTATTTATTTTAACTTTGTAATTATTAATCAGTGAGTTATGATCTACATCTGTCTGAACATCATCTCTACAGCTCAAGCACATGAGTTAAACATCTAAACATCTAAATGCCGGATTACGCTGCACTTTGGCCTGATTTGCAGTCTGGACGAGTCGATGCTCGTTTTTTTTATTTAGTTAAATTACTATTTATTTTAACTTTGTAATTATTAATCAGTGAGTTATGATCTACATCTGTCTGAACATCATCTCTACAGCTCAAGCACATGAGTTAAACATCTAAACATCTAAATGCCGGATTACGCTGCACTTTGGCCTGATTTGCAGTCTGGACGAGTCGATGCTCGCTCCTTAAAATCAGAGCTGGTCTGCAGATTTTGAGCAGTGAAAGTTTACGGATTTCACAGAAAAATCGCAGAGTGTGTGATGAGTACAGCCTTCAGGTGTGCGATTGGGCTTCAGAGCCAGTTCGAGGAAACCAAACATATCGATAGGTGCGGATTTTAGAATATCATCTTATCTGACATTAATCTCATCTCTGAGCTATGAGGTGCGTGATTCTGCGTGATTATAAAAGTGGTGGAGTGTATTCCAGCTGTCAAGAGTGAAAATGAATGAGCTCCACATACAACATCAGAACAAGCTATCACAAAGAAAAAACCCTGAAACACTACAAAAATGAGAGATGTTTAGAGTTCACAGCTGTGAATCAACACACACAGACAGAGACCATATTACCTGTAGGTTTTGATGTGGTCGGCTACTCCACAAAGCTGCAGACTGTGTGTCAGGGCCTGATGATAAGTCAGCGCTTGAGTGGACGAACCCCAGTTCACATCTGTAGGACCGCAACAATCCCATCATTAGTACTGTGCTAAAGAACAGACAACTGACTTCACTTTCACTCATTTTCCTGTCCACTTCACCTGGTTTCTTGTAGCTGACGTAGATGTAGAGGGACAAGACGATGACGTTGGTCAGGAGGGCCGCCCACCAGTTGATGATGAACATGACCACACAACACAGGATGGCCCCGGCCAGAGACACCCACATGTTGTAGTACTTGAAGCTCGGCCTCCATCCTGCCCAACAAACATGGATCAAACAATTAGAGACCTCCAGTCAGAGCCAGGGGATCTACAGTACTATGGGTTAGGATTTGGTAACATCGTAAAAGGTCAAATTACCCTAATTACACCCGTCAACGGGAGACAATGCATTGGATCGGAGCAACTAAATAGTTGGGATAAAACTAACAATAGTTCTTTGTGGTAGGAAAGTGCAAACTGTGCCGTTCTGCCACTTTACGTAACAGTATGGGACACAAAGAATGGCACCCGACAACTGCTTGTGAAAGCAGCGTCTCTGTGAAGAGCGTCAAGAATCCCACTGGGACATGGGATCTGATCTACTCAAGACATTTCACACGAGGCTGTTAACGGCTAGTGCATCAGAGCATCTCGATGTTCTTCACAACACACATCACAATGAGAGTTTACACAGCTGAAATGCATCAGTTTTATAAAAGCATGAAAAATAGAATTGATTAAATGAAGTTAGCACCAGTTAGGTTACATACGGGTGGTTAAGAGGACTAGGAAGGTCCTGAACACAGGACACGTACTAGAGTTATGGGATTTAGTGGAGTCAAGGTTACCTTGTAATGCTACAGACACTGCATGACATAAAGGGTACAGAAGCACTTTAAACGTGCAATATCTGGAGAGTGAAAGAGTCATGTGGCAAAGCTACATGTACCCTTTACGTTCATGCAATTGTGTGCAGAGACTCTATATAATAAAGTGTCAGAAGTGAAGATAGCTACCTGCTGGTCTTCTAGAGCTTTGGTATTGAGGGACAAACAAACCTCTTCACACAAAGAATAAAGAAATACGTGAAATTATAACTTCAAAACAAGAAATACAGTCAATAACATGATACCATTCAGAAATGAAAAGACTTTCATTTTCATTCAAATGAAAAAGGTGAGTAACACAGCCATAAGAATGTAAACTCTCTACGGGAAAACAAAAACTTTGCATAGTAATTGTTACTTTGCAAAGCATGGTAAACTCTGTAAAGGCCCCGATATACTTTAAGAGAAATCAAAGAACGAACTGTCATTTCAAACTAAATCAGGCCAAAACAAAGTTTGTTTTAGGAGCTTAAAACAGCTCAAAGTGAACACAGGAGTAAAAAGAGAGAGCTGCTTTACAGGACGAACTGAAGTTATTCTAACTGAAAGCAACACTGACAATGTTTTCATATTTACCACTGTAAAGCCCAGTTCAAATATTCAAATATTCACTTCCAGCAGCGTGGACGGCGTCTGGGTGTTCATTAAAGGGGTCATATGATGCTTTTTTAAAGATCATTATTTTGTTTATTTGGTGTAACAGAATATGTTGACATGCTTTAATGTTCAAAAAACACATTATTTTTCAAATACTGTACATTATTGTAGGTCCTCTATGCCCCGCCTCTCTCAAACGCTTCGTTTTCTACAAAGCCCCTCCTTCCGACAAGCGCAGTCTGCTCTGATTGGCCAGCTGACCCAGTGCATTGTGATTGGCCGAACACCGCAAGTACTCGTCGGAAATGTAACGCCCCTTACCATAATCACAAGCTTCATTTTTCAAAATAAATGTAAAGACAGTAAATAATGACATTAGTTTTACCATCAGTTCAAGCCAGAAAGGGGAACAGACACAGTAATGATGCAGTACACAAGCCGCGGTTAAGACAGCTGACGTGCTATGATTTCTGACAGGCAGTTCACTCTCCTGTGATGTGACCCAGTTCCCCTCACACACACACATGCGACGCGTTACTCTGCGCTGCTCAAAACTCCGCATTTGAACAGTCAATAGCAAATACTTAAACTAGTAACAAAACAGTAGCTGATTCAGAAGCGCCAGATTGTCATAGCAAAGTCAGAATGACCTCCTCTCCTAGCTTCACGAAACGGTCGTCCATAAAATGCATTGCTGTTCTGTTGTAAGTCATCTTAAAGATTTCTAAATGCATCTACTTCCGGAAGGCCAAATAAAGTGCTTCTGCTTTCTCCTAGAAACACACAGCGTCTCCCTGACATGCTGCTTCAACACTAACTGCGGTTACTGAAACCACGCCTTCTTTCTTTGCGTGCACATTTGGGCGCATTATGCTAATATTTCCACAGAGTGAGGTAGATATGTGGGGGCGTGTTAGAACGAGCCGTTTTAGGGGGGCGCCACGAGTCTTAGAGTCTTAACTTTGATAAAGAATATCTCTTTGGTTTTGAGACTTTAATCTTTGCAACTTCAGGCATCTTATCTATTCACGAACAGCTTGTAACACTCCAAAGAGAAAGAACAACTTGAAATCGCATCATATGACCCTTTAATATTATAATCGCTGCAAAGGTATTTCTAAATTCTTCAAACAATGAAAAAGACATTGGCTATGAGTATAATGGGGCCTCAAGAGGCTCAGCAATGATGGGAAGCCCATATTTTCACTGCATTCTCTCCATTTTTATACAAATTGTGGTGATTGCATTTATCGAGCTCGACCATGCTACCCTCACATTAACTCTAAACTAGCTGGCCTCCACTGAGTAACAGCTTAAGAGTGCAGTCACACTAGAACAGTTGCCTTGAACCAAGCCCGAGCGAGACTATCCGCCTCCCCACTCCCCACAGGAGCTCGCTTATGTCATGTACGAGACAAAAGGAGAAAACACTTTCACTAATAGACTGCCTAATAAATGTATAATTAATGCTGTGAAGTGAATTTCTCTTGCATGTATCAGAGGATCATTGCGGAAGCAGCTGGCGTTAATGAAAGAATTTGCAGTTTTACTCGTAAACTACAACTCCTGTTCATCAGGTAAGGTGAGAACCAGACCCGTTATAAACCTAGACATACTTGTTTTAATTAAATTAACTGAAAAGTGTACTGTAGTAGTAGAAATAGAAGATGTGTGCGATGGTAATGATGATATTAGCGAACACAAAACACTAGCTGTTCCGTGCTCTGGCGGGGTTAGTGAACACAATACATGCGTACCACACCTGAGCCCGACTGAATCGTGCTCTGGCCCACCTCTTCCAAGGGAGCCAGGTACGAAACGCACCGCGCACGGAGCGATCACACTAGACAAACGCACCACGCACGGAGCGCTCACACTAGACAAACTAACCACGCACGGCGCGATCACACTAGCCAAACTAACCACGCACGGCGCGATCACACTAGCCAAACTAACCACGCACGGCGCGATCACACTAGACAAACTAACCACGCATGGTGCGATCACACTAGACAAACTAACCACGCACTGCGCGATCACACTAGCCAAACTAACCATCTTGAACTATTGTTCTTAACTAGTTTTCTTTTAAGGCCCAAGTTTTAATTTGGGCATCAGGAAGCAAACAAGATCTATTGTTAAATTAAAATGTATTAATATTATACCATGAAAAACTAGCAAATCTCAGAAGCCTTGCCTTTGTAGTTTCCATCTTTTGAATTTTTAAGGTTTCCTTCTCTCGCCAGTGAGTAATTCACAGCACATAACGCTGTGTTCAGCACAAATCATGTTTACTAAACACAGCAGAGTTTGATTTGACACACACTTTTACATTAAAAAGAAATAAATACCAGTTCATAGCAGTTTATCATATACATGCAGCATTGTTTCCTGTGAGTCTAGATTAATTTAAGAGCGCATTTTTACCATCATAGCCGAAGAAGCCAAATTTCTCCTTGGACTCAACAGGAATGAAGGCCCCAATGAAATAGTTGAAGATGGCAGTGATCAAAATGACCAAGAGGAATATTTGAGCCTGCGAAACAAAGTCGTGATTTCATAAGGTCAGCACTGACTAATGTTCAAAGATAACTGAATATGCAGTGAATCTCCTGCCTTGGCCTCCCACTCCATTCCAGCCACTGAGATGCCGAGAAGCAGGATGACCGTAATGGTCCCAATGATCCTGACATCATTAATCTCATCGAGCATGAGCGCATCGGAATTCTAAACGGACACAAACACATACGATTATTCCATCTACACACCATCATATTAAAACAAACTAAGCAACAGAAGAGAAAACAGAATTGTGTCTCTTACCATGAGCAGCTCAACTACAGTTTCTGCGAAGCCCACGACGTACATGGCCACGGCCACAGCGTTGGCAAAGGCAAAAATCAGACCAATGGAGCCGCCGAACTCTGGGCCCAAACTTCGAGATATTAAGTAATATGCTCCACCTGAAGAAAAGATATTAAACAGATCACCTTTCTGAAAAGACAATTCAAGGCTGATTTATTGGTTATCCTACAGCATCATTCAAAATATTCTGAAAATCATATTATTTTGGTATTTTATCCAAGAGCGGTTCATCACTTGCCAACTTTGACCTCAGTTTGTGGACACAAGACTCTGACAAATTAGTCTTCCACTGAACTCAAATCATTCACAAACTCTCTCATCCTGCCCTTATGTTTGCTCTTCATGTTAGCTGAATTTTGAGAGCTTTCTGAATAAACGGTTGAATAATTTAGGCTAATTCGACTATTGGCAAGCAGGAGTAAAAAGGAAAGCAGTGCGTGTTGTGGATATAGCAGCGGTAGACCAATCCATTGTGTGTCAAAATGATGTGTCCCAGTGATACAGAAGAGGAACGGGCCCAGCACCAAACCCTGAGGTACCCCTGTGGATAAGATTATAACGGGTCAAGTAACCAATAAGAGAGCAGTACTCCCAGCTATGCTGAAACATCTTCCCATATTAAAGCCTAGTCTAAAGATTTTCCTAATAATCAGGGATGAGAAATGTGCACAGATTGAGTACAGATCGCCTTGAGTAAGTGTTAAATGCTCGATCTTATTTATGAAAGTGTGAGTGAGTATTAACAAATGACTGGAATACCAGGGAAGATTAGCCTAATCTCAGATTAACGGCTACACACCTCAGTGATGGGAAGCATTAGCACAAACACGCATCAAAAAACCAGCATGCAGTGCTGAAAAACGAAATATGTAGAGTACTGAATATAATGTTCCGATGAGTGTGAGAAAGTGGTTCTCTAAACTATAACTGAAAAGAGTGGCAGTGACAGCTAAATATCATTGAGGATCTCAAACAACCCTGTTGAAAAAAACAGCATATGCTGGTTAGGTATGTTTTGAAGCCTGGAAGCTGGTCTGAGCTGGTTCCTAAGGACCAGTTTAAACCAGCTCAAACCAGCTGCCATGCTTCATAACATACCTAACCAGCATATGCTGGTTTTTTCAACAGGGAAACCCAATCTCACACACACACTCACGTGACTGGGTTAATAACTAACACCTGAGTTGCTCATGAAAAAATATTGATTCACTTCCACACGGAAACAAAAATGTTATCTAGTGCCATCACCCCGTCTCTCAGATGAAGGCCTGTAGAGAGGGACAGCTATCCATTTCTGACTTCCAGACTGCCAATGAACCTCTCAATGGCCTGAGAGAAAAACACTGCCATCTCCGAAACACTCTACTGAATGTAAAAGTCTATTAAGTCATTCTATCGTTTGTTGTGTTTTACATCTGCCCGTAGATGAGCTTAAAATGTCAACCCTCTTAGGATCACTTGTGTACAGTAAACAATTGAATGTTTATAGAATATCAGAATTGATCCACATTGTCTCATTTGTGTGTGTGACGGTTCCACCACAGGGACCCTTTGATTGGTCTTTGCACCAATGCATACGGTGCCAGTGCACATTTCATTTTTATTTTTTAATTACCTCCTCGTACAAAGCCATTGGTGGCGATCGCTGAGGTCGAGCAGCCCGTGATGGTAGTCACAACAGTTGCCATAATAACAATGATGCAGGAATACGCTGTGGAAATAAAAAGGTGAAACGACTCATTGTTCTCAAGTTCAGCACTAAACACTAGCCGTTTGCGGTCTGCAGTACATTTCCAGTGTTGGAGCTGACAGCTCACAGTGCCTCACAGCCACATTTAGCATGTGCATGAGAAATGACTGCAGCTTGATGGAAAACACAAGAGTGTGCTTGTGAATTGAAGTGCTAATTCACACGGCCGACCAAAGTCAAACCTACCAATTCCAGCCTGGCCCACGATCCAGGTCATTCGAATGAAGAGCATCACGCCCCATATGTTTAACATGCAGCGCACCTGCACAGAGGAAGGATGCAGTTTAGACTCATGCTGACAAAAACATCAAGGACCAAAGCCGTTTCTCAAACCTCATTCACCGGGACGATGAGCGCTGGACAGGAACCCATCGGCGTTTGAAGGAAAGCTGCAGGCTGAGCTCTGTTGATGGCATGTGTGGCGTCACGTCCGTTACCACAAAAGACTTTCATCACTGTTACATCAACACCTCTACAGGAGAAATAAACCTGCCAAGAGCTCCAGAAGCAGTTTATTATTCGATCTGGAAAGCATCTAGAATAATCTTTTAGTGACGTGACTACAGTTTTAGTTGGATCCACTTTCTGGTGTGTCATGCCAAATTAGCTGGCATGTTTACCAGCTCTACAAAGCTGAATGATTAGAGATAACACAGACCAGGAAGCGATTTGTTCACACTCGTTCCAACATGTAAACACTGTATGCTTACATCATGTCGGAACTAGCATGAAAGAATCGCTTAATGGTCTGTGTTACACTTTTTGGTGTTTTTTTTTGG